ACGCTGCAGGTTTTTTGGAAGGCTACCTCACTGCTTCGTAAGTAGTTTGATAAACTAAATTGGCATTACTTAATTCAGTATTTCTCAACCTTGGCCACTTGAAGATGTCTGGACTTCAATTCCCAGAATTCCCCAGCCAGCGAATGCTGGCTGGGGAATTCTGGAAGTCCAGAATTCTGGAAGTATTGATTATCTAAAATGTAGGTTGGGCTTTTTGGATTTTTGAAAAACACTCCCTTGTTATTTGGCTTGCTGTAATCACAAGTTCCAAAATATCCTAATTAACCAAACTTTCCTCCAAAACAGAGACATAAATCCATTTTGAGCCATGTTTTTTAAATTTTGCCTTGGAGAAAAATGATAGACAAACCAAATTAATTGTAAACAATTTAGATATGGTGGCAAACCTTGATTAGAACAGTAGGAAATAGGATAGGGGACTGTGCATGTGAAAGAAGTAGCTTAGTTACTTATAATATGTACTTTTAATACAGTGCATATTGAGGAAAGATTCATCTCCTGGAACAATAGACAATTATTGTCTATAGATGGACCAGACCAGAAAAAGATTCCATGGAAACCTAAAATTACCTTTTTAAAGATTGGCTACAGTAACAGAATCTTGCAAATTTAATTGTGCTTGCCTTCCTCATGTGAATTATAATTTAACAAGGCATTAAGGCAAGTGATGCCTTGACTAAACTTCCCTAAGCTTATTATTATTCTAGATTTACAGGTTGAGAATTTGAGGTCCAAAATTTGAAGGGCGCTATGTTGGACCCAAAGATACCTTTCCAAAAAAGGCAACTGGACTTTTATTCCCTTTGAAAATGTTTTGCTTCTCATTCAAGAAGCTTCTTCAGTTCTAATCGAATTCTAATTCTACTGTAGTTATTCTTCAGTTTTTTTTAATCTCTATGATATTTTACCTATAGCTTTGAGCAGGCAAACCAAGATTATTGGGCAGAATTAGCATGCTGCTTGTAGCACCAAATGAAAGCAGATTCAAGCTAATTTTAAAAAATATTATAAAAATAACTTGAAATATATAGTTTTAAATTGGATTACTGTGCGTAGGGTAGAAAGCCTGGTTATTGTTATTTTACAAACAGAATGAAATTATGTGCAGTCTTTCTTATTCTTTATATTGGGATATCACAAATGTTACTGTACTAAAGTTACAAGTTAAGACATAAAATGTATTGTTGTGTTCATATTGACAAGGCAAGACAAGTGGGCTAAAATAATATTTCCTGCATATTTCTTTCAGACGTATGAGTGACCATGTTGCAAATCTGTATACTCAGATGATTAAGAATTTCATCATTGAACAAAAAGTAAAAGATTTTATGCAGTATGTATTCTATTGTCAAAAATGTTCCCATTCATAAGTAGCAATGAAACAAGTGCCATAATACAGCTTTAAGAATCCCCAGAGTTACTGAATGTTTTACTAAGCTAATTCCACTTGCTCCAACAATACATAATTAAATGAGGACCAGACAAACAGAATTAGCATGACTCTGTGCAAGAATTGAAGCTAAAGCATGTGATATAAGGAAAGGTTATGACATAATAGATTTACCACGTTTTTAAAATGCCACAAGCCTTTTTAGTTTTGATGCAGAGTTGACAGTGTCTCCAGCACTTTAGAGTCATTATAATTAGCAGAGGAAATGTATCTGTGATGTTTGAAATTATCAAAACTTTTAAACAGAAGAACATGTATTAATATGATTTGTCCTTTGTTCCCTGACTTCATTGTTTAATAGCTTGAGGAGATAATATAATCCTAAATATATTTATTCGCAAGAAAGTCCCACTAAGACATAGAATGGAGCAAACCTTAAGTATAAATCTCAGTAGTTTTGATCAAATATATCTTCTAAACTCAGATTTGTTCCTATATAGGAAACAGGATGAATGGACGAGGCAGCAGATTAAAAATAACAAGGATGACCCCTTCTGGAGAAATGCAGGCTACATTATTGCTCAGTTGGATGGGCTGTACATGGGAAACGTGGAATGGGCTAAACGGCAGAAAAGGACAGTAAGAAGCAATATGTTGTCTTTCCCTTTCAGAAAAGGAAATAGGGTTTAGTTCAAGATTTAAGCTAAGACCAAGTCTTTCCACTTTCTATACAGAATATGTAAAACATCCTTTATGTTGCAGCTGTTCCAGTTGATGTAGAATTTGGTACAGTGTCAGAGTGGAGCATTACTCAGTAATTCTCTAACCATTCAGGAAGCTTAGATAGAAGATGACCGTCTGTCTGCAGTTGCTATACCACACAGGGAAAGTGCTGTCATTATAGCCCGAATTTCAGAATGGGCTGAGTGACCTTCTGAGAGTCAACAGGATGTTGTCATTGTGAATTAGCAGGAGGAGAATTCACTGGATACAAATAGCTTTCACCTTTATTTCTATACTCAAGCACAGCATGACAGTAAAGACATCAGCAACTAAACAAATTTTCTTTTCTTGACTCAGCACTGCAAGAAAATACGGAACTTGAGGCTAATGGAATCAGGGTCAATACCACTTGAAGTGAAAATAGCATTTATCCCCTTTGAATTAATTTCCCTGTGTTAGATCGGGTAAAGGAGGCACAGTAGGCTTCAGTAAACAACAGCTCTTTATTTCAAGTCAAGTAAACATCTGGCTGGGGAATGGTTGGGCAGCATCCCCTTTTAAAGGGATCTGTCAGACCTCTTAGCCAATGAGATTCAACCTCTGCTCCCGCTGGAACAGAGGACCTTGGTGGAAACCTCTTGCAGTCTGTCAGCGGGGGGGCGGGGGGGGATATCTAACACCCTGGAAACGATTTACAGAAACCGAGAAGGAAAAACATTTCTTGATTTTATCCATAATGTTAATAAAAACATTTTTATGAAGTAAATGTAACATAGTTGAAAAGTATTGGCCTCTACTTTTTAAGTTCAAAAAGTAAACCCAAATAATTGCATGTGTTTTTAATTTAAGATGAACATTTGAGCTAATAGTTCATATTCAAAAGAAGGAAATGCCTATCCTTTTCGCCCTCACTGTATTAGTAGGCATCTATCCCCCTTCCTTCCCCCAGCCTTAATTTAGCCTTATTTGTAAGAAAATCAAGAATGATTTGCCAATGATGCCACTGGCAGAAATTTTGTTCAGTGCTAAATACAAATGCAGACATCTTGTAAGTAGAAATGCACTCTTTTTAGTCCCTTATTTGTTAATATTATACATAAAAACCCAATTTTTAAATATGTAGTTTGTTTCATTTTTTCCACTGTGCCAGACAAAATCATGAGAGCAGCATTAAATTATACCCTTTACAAATGATGAAAATAGAAACCAGTTAGACAAATAAAAGATTGTATTTATTTTTCCATGTTTTGGACAACTTTTATTGGGCAAAGAAAGCTGCATATTAAAAGATTTTATAATAATTAATATGTTATTTTTTAAACTGTATATCAACAGTCAGATAATGTTTTTTTGTCGAATTTGGATGTATTTTAGTGATAGATTTTAAGCTGGTAGATTCCTTAAAATAACAAAAATAAGATATTTGAATACTATTTGGATAGTTATGTGTAGATATATTTGGATACTTGTATGTTTACACTCAGCTATTTTGTTTGTTTTTCAATTTTAATATTGCCAAATAAATTAAATTCTCTCTAGCTCGTACTTAAATTAAAAGATATATATTCAACTTTCATATAATTCTTATCCCTGTAAAATGTGTAGAATTTCAATTTTGATCTGTATCTCCAAATTTAAGAAAAAAGCAATTTATTTTTTTCTTTATTACATATGAAGAAAGGATTTGAAATTTTGAATTTTTCAGTGCTGCATAGTGATTTTGATCAGGAAATTTATTTTTATGGTGGATTTATTATATTTTGCAATATTTATAAATGAATTGACAGTTTGCATTTTCTGTTAGGATTTTATGGAAATGAAATAAAAAAGAGGAAGTAAAAAGGATAAATATTGATACTAGTTTATATTATGCTGCACTCTTCATCACTTACATCCTATTCTCTGGCTCTTCTATGATGGAAACTCCTTAATCAGGGAAAACAGGTAGTCCTTGAGTTACACTCAGTGGCTTAACAGTTATTCGAAATTATGGTGGAACCCCAAAAGCTACTTATGTCCCAGACCTGCAGTTATGGTTGGGGCAGCACCCCCATATTCATACAACAACCACATGGATGCTGCAATGCCACCCTACCTATCCTCTCCCCCATCCTGCCCACTGGGTCTCTGCAGGAATTTCCTTCTCCCACTGGCTCCCTGCTATCCTTAAGCTTGATTCCTACCTACTAGGATCCAGAGACTCCTCCTCACTTACCTTTTCAAGAGCTCTGAAGCCTTCTATAGTATTGGAATGGGTCACTTTGTCACTTGGCCACATGGCTTGATTCTAGAATTGTGCTGCATGGGCGAGAGACAAAGCATTCTGTTTTGCTACTTTAACACAGTTTGCAGAGACTTGAAGAAACTTTCTGCAGCACTGTATAATCCTGCTAAGCAATAAAACAGGGCAGGTATCCCTTGCCTGTATGGCAGAAACTCAGAAGCAACCATCAAAATGGTGGCTGTGAGACAAACCACTGTTTTTCTGCCTTAACAAGGTTGCAGAAAGCTGCAGAAAGCTTCTGCCGCACTGTGCAAACCCCACGGAAGCAGCAAAACAGGGTGGTTTGTCTTGCATCTCCGTTGTGCAATTCCAGAAGCAGTGGCAATATCAGAATGCAATTCGATTGCTAAAAAATGGCAACTGCTCCTAGAACCATGCCTTATGGCTGAGGGACAAAATAACCCATTCTGCTTCACTAATTCAGTCCGTGTAGGATTTTGGAAACCTCTCAGGCTCTGGAAGCTCTGCTTCCGGAGTCATGTCACATGGCCGCTCAATGAAGCAATCTGTTCCAGTCTGCAAGACCTCATGGACCTTCACTAAGTTTTGGGAAGGCCAAGGCAGGTAGGCTTAGGCCTGTGCAAGGTCTCCAATGGCCTTATTCATCCCTGAGGCACCCTGTGGTCCATTTCATGACCTGCACATTCTTTTAACAATTGCCTTGGGGAGAACAGTGATGGGGGATCATTCAGTGAGATATCCACTTAATGGCCATTGCAATATGCAGCTATAATGAACAGGCTGTGTTTCTGCAGCATTGAGCAATCTTGTTAAGGGCAATTTGTCCCTCGCCTATGTGGCAGAGACTCGGAAGCTCGAGGATTACCTGTATGAGGTTTACCACTTTGAGCTACCAGAATCTGCTGGCAAGAATTCTCTGACTCTTATTCATCTGCAGGGGCTGAACCAAGAAAACCCCCTTGCTCATTCATTCTATAGCTCAAGAAACAAATATTCTTTTTTCCTGTATCTGGTTATCTCTAAAGGGGGCCCTAATCAGTAAAGTTGTGTCTGAATAAAGCATGTCGGGTAAATCAGTAATTTTACATCCGATTTTCTATTTGAACTTTCTTTATGAACTACTATTTCTTAATTTTAATATAAATGTTTGAACTAAAACATCACTGCTCTTAGACTTTCGGTTTTCAGAGTCCGAATTTGAAGACAGACTGGTTGGGCATGGATTATTTCTGCCTGTCATGTGTAACACTGATGTAGATAAAATGGAATCTTAGGCATATTGTTATCTTTTTCATTTCAGCCTCTCACTGCCTTTGAAATTAGTTTCCTAAATGCAGTTGGAGATCTGCTTGACCTCATTCCTTCCTTAACCTCAGACTCAAGAAACAATGATTTACTTTCTATGCCAGAAGTTTCTAGGATGTATCAATGGGATATGGGTCATTGCTCAGCTTTAATCAAGGTGAGAGCAGTAGCATTTTTAAAAAACCTTTTACTTTAGGATTACAAGGACTGATGACACTGATCACAGCACAATCCAAGCAGTCTACAAATATTAATGCATTGTCAACACAACCTGATTATTCCCCATTATTCCCATTACCTGGGGTTTCAGGAGCACTGCTGTAACCAACCGAATTAGCCTACTCAAAAACATTGATTCCTCTCCTTCAACAGCTTAAAAGTAGCCTAATTCTATTTAATCAGAGGCCTTTCAATTTAATGCAGGATGTGAATCCAACAAGAAATTGGGGGAACCCGTTCTTCACACATTACTAAGTAGCACAAGTATCCATAAAATTTGGATGCATTTTAACACATTGGAATTAAATGGCAGGCACATAGTAAAATACACCTAAGAGATTAAGACATACATTTGTTTTTCAAAGGTTTTGGAGCTAGATTCCTGCACTGGGCAAAGGGTTGGACTAGATATTTATCCAGGTTCCTTCAGTCCTATGATTCTATTATTTCTATAAGCCCTTAGGGTTCAGATGTATAGCAAAGCCCATAAAATTGTTATTTCAATGATGGTTTTTGATGTTTGCTTCTAGTTTTACCCCTGTCTGTTGAATATGCACTGGTGGTTATGCTGTTGTATTATTCTTAATTGTTGTTGGCTACCCAGAACCATTATGATGAGATGGGTCACCTTAAAAATGTAAATAAATAAATAGTTCTGGTTCCATTCCTCTGGACTGGACAGCTTCATAAATTGAGAGTCCATTTGGACTTAAAACTTCTGCTTGCAAGTGGCAGCTGTGACTAGGAAGTCCTTTGCATAATCCCATCTTATGTGTCAATTCCAAACGTTCCCAGATCAGGAGATGCAATTCTCGACTAAACATTTGTAAATTGATTTACATGAGATTGTTTTTGAAAACTACTTGAAAGCTACAACAGTCCAGAAAGCAGTGGCTTGAGTCTTATGCGCATTTCTTATTTTCTTCAGATCATACCATCACTGCAAGTGTACTAGTCACTCATTGGCTTTGAAGTTTAATTTAAGGTTCTGTTTGGCATTTTAAAGCCCTATATGACTAATGATCTGGCTATCTTTGAGATTGCCTGCTCCCAGGGGTCTCTGACAGCCTTGCAAGGTAGTTCAGACAGGAAGCAAGTTCAGATGAATTAATTCTACTTTATTGTAAAATTACAAAAGCCGAATCTCTCAAGTCTGAAAATACATTTCTCCCCTGTTGCCTTTACAGTTCAAAAAACTAGGGACGGTCTGAGATGTTTGCCACACCCATATTCCTGCTGCAGACTGATCTGCCTCTTATCTGCTTGGTTGCCTGGCCTGTGTTTCTTCCCCTGTCTCTCAAAGTCATTTTACATACCATTACAGTCTCTGTACAATAAAATATTTTGTTGTAAGCAGCCATCAAGTCCTATATGTGGAAGTGTATGATCAGGGACCCTGTACACATCCTTTTTCAACTGCTATTCTTTTCCTTTAAACAGATCTCCACCTAAGGTTAGATAAGACCACACTTGTACAAAAGAGGTGAGCCTGGTTTGCACCATTGCACCTGCCATCTTGCCAATTTTAACACACACACACATACACACACACGCCAGTTATGGTGTTCTGCTTTCTTCTGGGCAATGAATGCCAAGAAAGCTAACTTGAATAGTTATGACTTTTCAGCTCAATATGTCTGCTGAATACAATAGGGGCCCTCCCTCCATTCTTTCTTTTTTATTCTTATCCAATGGATAGTGGCAGGGAAAAAAACCCTCATTTTTTTTGTCTTTCCCTAAATCCTTAATACTTGCAACACCTTCAAAGTTGTGTAAGGCCAGTTCTTCTATTAATGTTTTAATTCACATTACTAATTGTATGCAGGCTATAAAAATACTAACAATTAATAAAAGGATTTTTTTAATGTTAAATTCCATAAAAGAGAAACAAAAGTGATTTGCCTGCTATTTCTAGATAACTAATTCATTCTTTTTCTCAGGTCCTCCCTGGATATGAGAATATCTACTTTGGTCATTCTAGTTGGTTCACATATGCTGCCACTTTGAGAATATATAAACATTGGGACTTCAGAATTATTGACCCACAGACAAAAACAGGACGTGCCTCTTTCAGCAGTTATCCAGGTAATTTAGATCAGTGGTCCCCAACCCCCGGTCCGCGGACCGGTGCCGGGCCGTGGAGTACCTGGCACCGGGCCGCGCAGCGGCCGGGGGACATGAACAGCTGCCCAAAGGTCCGCGCGTGCGCTGGTGGAATCCCCGGGCGCTGCTGGTACCGCCGCCACCGCCGCCCCCTGCGAAACCCAAGAGCGGCTCTTCTCCTGCGAGGCGGCTGGCTGAACAGCTGCCACTGCCGCGCGCCTTCCTGCCTCAGCCGCTCTGTCGCTTCCAAGGAATGGCGTCAGCGGCGGCAGCTTTACTTCTGAGGCGCTGCACACTTCCCCAATAGTCGTCACAGCCCAGGTAAGAGAACGGGAACTTCCCGCCTGGCTTCCAGCCCGCACCGAAAGGGGGCCGTTGGGGTTTTTTGTGGAGCTCGGAAAGACGCGCGTCAGCTGTGCGCGTCCGCCTCCTCGGGGCCACCCCCAAGCGCCCGAGGCAGCCAACCCTGGTAAGCAGGTGGTGGTTAACTGGCGCCTTTGCTGCAGGTTTTTCTGGAAGGGGCCACTGCCGCTGTCCGGAGGTGACCTTGAGCTGCTCGCTCGCTCTATGCGGGGCTGGTGGGGCTGTGACGCTCGGAGGTGGCGCGTGTGGGAGTGAGAGGCGCGGGGACTGGCTTTCTCCGGACCGGCTTTCTCCGGGGGGGGAGGCGAAGGACCAGGCTGCAGCGCAAAGGCTCCTGGGCCGTGCGCAAAAGCTCCTGGGCCGTGCGCAAAGGCTCCAGGGAAGAGAGCCCCACGTGCCCCTGCGCGCGCTCAGCGGGCCACGGTAAAATTATCAAAGGCTGACTGGTCCGCGGCGATAAAAAGGTTGGGGACCACTGATTTAGATGACTGAAACATGCCATGTATGTTTCTTAGTTTGTCTGCAAGCTATAAACATTTCCAATTGGGAGCTCTATTTACACATAAACCCAAAAGATTTCTCCCCGCTCATATTTAGAGTATGTACCATCTTCCATTGACTAGGCTAGCTGAAGATAATCCAACATAGCTCAACAGCACTGCATTCAGAATAGTGTTGTAGAGTTTTATAATGTAATATGAAACTACTTCGACACAGCACAAAAACAGTTACAGATCAATTGTACAGATGTCTAAATTAGAATTGAATCTTAAGTAATAAAATAAATGATTTTTCTTATGGTGACCCTTATGAGGCAAGGAAAGCTTTTCCCAAGACTAGTTGAAATCAGGGATGAATATGCAGCATTGAAGTCATTTATGTATTGTGTTTTCATCCCAAAAGATTGGACTGGATGTATCTCCAAAAGAATCTGGAATAGATAGATCTATATTGAGTCCTCCTTCATCCAGTCCAATCCTTTCCAATCCACGTTTCTGGAAGCAATTGTAAAATGCATGACGGATGAACTTTAATCTTTTCACAAATAGGTCTGATTCACCACTTCCAGAGTCTCATTGTTGATAATATATAATTTAGCTGAATTTGGTTGCCTTTTCTTTTATAATCAGTTGATTCTGGTGCTGCTGTTTTTGTAGATTCTTTGTTTTTATCCATTTAATTTCCTTCCTTTGTGGAAATCAAACATTAGAATGAAAAAATATATGAAGGATTTCTTTTTGAATAACAAACTTTTTGAAAATTCTTGTTTCAGGCTTTTTGGTTTCCCTAGATGACTTTTATATACTTGGCAGTGGATTGATTATGTTGCAGACCACAAACAGTGTATTCAACCTTTCTCTTCTTAAACAAGTGGTACCTGAGAGCCTCTTTGCATGGGAGAGAGTCCGTATTGCCAATATGATGGCAGATTCTGGAAAGACCTGGGCCCAAACTTTTGAAAAACAAAATTCTGGTTGGTATATTTGAATGGGAATCTTTTCACCCATGATTCTATGGGGGGGGGAGGAGCACAGTTAAGATTTAACTGTTTTCTTACTGACCTCTAGGTACTTACAATAATCAATATATGATACTCGATACAAAAAAGATCAAATTGCGAAGACGCATTGACGATGAGGCACTTTATATCATTGAACAGGTTCCCAATCTTGTAAAATATTCCGATCAAACAGATATTCTCCGTAAAGGTAAATATTTACATAAGAGTTTTTGAATAATGGAATACAGGAGAGGGCCAAAGGTAAATGATCTCAACTAAAGCTTCCTAATAGAAGTTGCAAATAATCTCAACGTTAGTAAGTGCAATTTACCAGGAATTCACAATTTGTATTTTTAGAAATAATTGTGTGTGAGAGAGACACTTTAGCACTAAATACAAATTTCCTTTGTGCTACAGATGGTAGACGATGTAAATTCACATTCTTTTGCTGAATTTGAAATTCCTTAAATATTTCAGCTTTGCCAAATGTAACCTCCTTTTATGAAATTTTTCTACCATGCTAGTTTGGCTCACATTCCCTTGAGACTCAGTTTTTTAAAACTTGGTTAATGTTTCATGCAGTTAAAGTCAAGCAATGTACAAAAGCTCCAGCTGAACTCATTCACTGGTGAAGCCTTGTTTCGCAGGATACTGGTCTTCCTACAACATCCCTTTCCATAAAGTAATTTATAATATGAGTGGATATGGAGAATATGTTGAAAAGTATGGTTTGGACTTTTCTTATGAAATGGCCCCAAGAGCAAAAATCTTCCGACGGGACCAAGGAACAGTAACTGATATGAAGTCCATGAAGCGCATCATGAGATATAATAGTATGTCATTTAAATTTTTTCTATTGATTTTTTTAGATTGTGTTCTCTTCCATAATTAAAAAAAGCCCTCATTATCAAACATTTGTTTTGCAATAACAGTATCCGCTCACCTTTCACAATGTTAAACTCTTGGCCATTATCTGTTGAATCTAGTTAAAATAAAGAAATGTTGAGTTTTAAATACATCATATTTTTCGCTATAGTTTTCCAAGTCCATGAGTGACAGGAGCCAAATTTCAATTAGTTATCTTTAAACAAGTTCTCAGAGCAGACCCTCTTTTCTACTCTCTTATTCTAACCTGCTTCATAGATAAAATCCAACTGGGGTGGAAAGAAAATGGCTCCAAGTTTTTTGAAGGAGAGGCAAGAATCAAATGACAGACTTCTGACTCTACAGACACAGAATTAAATCATGGTTAAGCAAGAGCGTGAAAACGTACTTATTCCCTCCCCTTTATTTTCAGATTATAAGAAAGATCCGTACACAAGATACAATCCCTGCAATACCATTTGCTGCCGAGAAGACTTGAAACACAAGTCTCCAGTTCCAGCTGGATGCTACGATTCTAAGGTACACAGTCCTAAAGGAATTGCCCCACTACAGATACATGTGGGGTGGAGAAAACATTAGCTGATCCACATTATTTGGCATGCACAATATTCTCCCCCCTGTACATCATCATACGTGCCTGTAATTACTTGTGCATTCAAATGCAGGTGCCAGCAGCTGCCCAAACAAAGCTACTTTGACAATCATTGATATCATTTTTATCATGCTTCCATTGATAGCAGCTTTGATTTTTTTTTTAGTTAGTTTACTTTATTGATTAGCCCTTGGGCCATATGAAAGTGCAGAGTTCCAGACACAAATTATTATTAATATCAGATAAGAACATTTTAAAATGGAATTGGAATAAAATATGATTTAGAGTGAAACTGGAATAAAATACGGTTAAAAATGAAATTGGAATAAAATACAATAATTTAATATATAAATAACTAAAACATGATTAAATTAGCTTTCATCTAATTAAGTGTTAAAAATAAAATGAGAATTCAATGTAAATACTTGTTTTTGTGTTAGGATTGTAAAGTATAGCCATTTCAGAGGCAACTTGAGATCTATTCTAGTTTTGTGCAACAGACCAGTACAGAATGAAATGTTTAATTCTCTCTTTAAGATTGAGGCAAATCTTAGCCAGCCTGGCTAACTGCAATAGGCATTCAGAATTATAGTTTAGCAACCCTTGGAAGAGTCATAGCCACTCCTGCGCTTGAGAAATTAATATTATTTATTTAAGGAATATTATAGTCTCCGTTCTTAACCTGTGTGTGAGTTGCAGGATCCAATCTGAGTCAGTCACCAGGATAAAAGATTGATTCTCCTAAGCTTTCAGGCTTGTGCTGGAGTCCATTATCATGGAAACAGCACAAGCCCGAAAAGGAGAATAAACCTTTGTTTCTGGTGACCGACTCAGATTGGATCCTGCAACGTTATCCTGGGATATGTATATTTACTTTCAGTTGTATGTGTAGATTGTTTGATTTTCTGGAAGGAAGATTTAGAAATTCTGAACACTCAGCTGCCATTTTTATGCATCTACTAGCCGATGACCCAGCAATGTCTGGGTATTTATTTATAGGGGGGAAATGTCTAGAGCAAACATAATTTCTAATGTTGAATTTTCCCCCTTACTAGAGGGAGCCCCCTTGTGGAGTACTGTGAAGCTGTTATCATGGCAACTCTGCTGTGCTGTACAGTAGAAAGCATTTTACAGCAGTACAGTAGAAGTTATTTTAAGGCACAACAGGCTGTATCTTAACAGAACACACACCCTGAGGGGTTTGGGTGGTGTCTTACCCCCCACAATATTTTTTTCCAGAGAGTAAGTCATCTGTGTACCAAGTTTGGTTGAAATTGCTTGAGTCGTTCCAGAGTTATGCTGGACACACAAAGCCATTTTTATACATATAGAAGATTTTGCAATGGTACAGAAGACTCATACAGGAACAGAACATTGAGATATTTGTAATCACTCACTTTTTACTTCAGGGTGTCAAAAAGAGAAATAGATAATAAGAATTGTGAGGGGAAATGGTGAAAGGAGTTAATTGAAATATGGGCAAAATATGAACAGAAAGGTTGGTCGATCAATTGGTTTATTTAAAGCATTTATATGGCCATCCAACTCAAATAATATGACCTTTAAGTGGCATTTAAAAAAAAGAAAGGAAAAGTCAAAACCAACAAATAGAAAAAACCAACCTGTCTCATTAAAACCATGTAGGCAATAAATGGCAAACACAGCTGAAGTATAGCATAACTCCTATGGATGGGGACCCTATTCATGCTGGCCAAAAGGCTTGCAATGGTTTGCAGGTTCCAGCCAATTTATGCTGAAGGGAGGATTACACCAAAAGGGCCACCATTGAGAAAGCACCTCTCCAGGGTCTCATAAGATTACATGGTTTCAGGGTAGGGATATGCCCCTCCAATTGCAATGTGTGGGATGGGGAGATATTTTTGGGAGCAGGCCATCTTGGAAATATCTTGGTCCTATGCTAGGAGGGCTTTTATGGGTGATAACCAACAACCTCAATTACACCCAGAAGCCAGCTCGTGGAGCAACAGTGTCACTTAGGTGTCACAAGAGTTTCCATTACTACTACACCACCACAATCAGGATCAATTGTAGGTTCTGGATAGTTTTCAAAGATAGTTTTATGTACAGCATACATTACAAGACTGGGTATCTTTGGGTCAGAAGAAACAGCACAAGGTAATTGTTATCTCACTGAGGTTGGTTGTTTACATCTCACCATGCTTTCATTGCTAGGGAATGTGGCTTAATATTTGATATATAATCTGTTTATAAAATCAGATCAAGACAAAACCTGGATAAATCCAAATTTGTTGTCATGGCTCCTTGTGTGCCAGCTTTCCCTTTTTATTTAGATATCCTTGCTTTACAGAGAATTAAAATACACAAAATCGCACCTCACCAGTATCAAATGTATGTTTCAGTATCTCCATTCTGGATTCACCTTGCTGAATAAAGGGGCCTGGTTTGGGGCATAGGCAATTCAGTTAACATGGTTTGAATTGTCCTGGGCCATTTCTGAATATTTTGCATGTTATATTTGTGAAATATCCATCCCATTTACTTCTCTTACATGACCTTTTTTAAAATTTTTGTATAGGTAGCAGATATCAATATGGCTGCAAAGTTTACAGCCTATGCCGTCAGTGGCCCACCTGTGGAGAAAGGCCTGCCTATCTTCAGCTGGGTTAATTTCAACAAGACGAAGCACCAGGGTCTGCCAGAGTCATACAACTTTGATTTTGTTACTATGAAACCAGTGCTGTGAATCTATATCTGAGCATTTGAACATGTGCAGGAAAATTGTGTTTACATTTTTTTTTGCCATATCAAATAAACAGACCTGGATATACCTTGATTTTACTCTTGGCTTCTTATGAGAAAGATAAAACCTATTATATGCAAGTAAAAATGGGCGTAATAGCATATATAACCCTTGGATTTTGTTCATTTTAGATAAATGAACTCTGTGGAGCAAATAGCCTGATTAGGATGATGTATTGCAGATGACTGTTGATTCTAGATGAATTCTGGCAGTGAAATCTGCTTAGTGAGATTTCCAGCAATCTCATGTTCCTAATAGTGTGCTTTGTTGCCTATCTTATCATCTATCACCTTTGCCTGTCTGTCTATCTTGTCTTATATCTATTAGCTCTCTCCCTCCCTTTCGACTATTCTGGACTGTTATTTCCATTTCTTAAACCAAATGCTCTTTTGTTCTTCCAAACTAATCACACAAAACTCAAAAGATTAAAAACCCAGTAGTTTATTTCAAAGTATAAATTTCAGGCGTATCAAGACAAAACCCCACTACAATTAACACGTACAGACACTAGTCTACAATGCATATAAAAGTTAGGAGAACTTGCCACCGTCCTGCTTAAACTGGACTTTTTGGTACAGCCTACATTATTTACATGTTCATCTGTTGAAGAAGAAAAAAACCAGAGTGCAAATTTCTATAAGGAGTTTTGTATAAGTTTATTTTTCAGTGCTTATAAATTACTGATCTGAAGAGTACCTCAGGTTTTGGCTGTCCAGTTGCTTTATTTACAGTTAAAATTTAAACTTAGTCTTAAAATATATTTTCAAGCTAGCACAAGAAGGTAAGAAACCAATCATTCTGCTTTAAAATATAGGTGAGATCCAATAATACTGTAGAACACAATTTGATTTGCATTCTTGCATATTTGTACATTACTCTCAACGTAACCTCTATACTGCTGAAAATATTGTTATCCAATTTTCATATACCCCAAATATGAAGATCTTAAAAACAGCAAGATTTCATTTGCAAAATGAACGACGTTGCCACTGAATGAATGAGAATACTAAAGAAAGTGAAAGATGGCATCAACATAATGTAGCTTCATATTCTGGTTGTAATTCTTTAAGCCAATACTGTGATATTGCACGTCAAGGGACAAATATAAAACTATTGAAGCACTAATACAATGTAATATGGATTCTAGAGCCATAGAAGTCCTGGACAAGTAGTAGCAATTGATTGGATCAGTCTAACATTGAATGAATGGACTGATTTAATTTATTGTGGTACCCATGTTCTAATTCTAGTGGGTTGTTCTCAGACATTTTGTCACAATTTATCTTGGTCTTTTTATAAATAATTTAAAGAGGCACAGAAATTGCCCAACATGCTGAAAATAGAGATTAATCAGGATGTTTCAGTAAACCTTAAACACAGTGTTTTTGTTCAGAGTTTTTAGGGCATGTATCAGTATCACTGAACATATCCTCTATCATTAAGTTGCTAATATAAAAAGTATGTTGCATCTCTTGCTCTCCACAATCTAAATTCAACCAATTTTTTGTATAAATTGTAATTTGGGGGGAAAAATGAGCAGAAATAAGCTAACAAGAATTCCAGACCGAGATAACAATTTTTTAGTTCGCTTTCAGAATTTATTTCATTTCTTCTGAAAACGAACTTGACTACTATTAGTAGCTGCATTCTCAGTATTAAAGAGCAGAACATTGCTGAAATATATAGTTTCACAGTGAAATCATTCTAGAAAAAAATGTCTAAGCTGGGCCAGTCATACACTGCAATAAAGTAAGAGTGGTAAGAAAAAAAATATCAACATGGTACAATGTAGACAGTGATATTTTCTTTTCTTCTTTAAGGTCCTTTAAAAAATATCTCTTCTATCCATACTATAACAAGCTCACAGTGGTGAGTGGGATGGTTTCTCAATGAACACACAATAAAAATCCAGCATTAGTCCAGTTTGTTGCCATGCAATCCTGTTTATAGTAGTTTGATAGAAAAAGAATAAAGTTCCCATTATCTGTTGCAAGAACATATTAATTTCTACAGATTCAGATGTCTTTTTTCGGGCAAAGGCAGAGAATTAAGCACAGAATATAAAATATGTGGTTTGCCATTACTTATACATTTGTTTCTGCTTAACTGTATTGCTTTATATAACTTGTGTGGCATGCTCATTCTGTTTTGGAAAATGTAGCATCCTACTCGATCAGCTGCAGTACATAAATCTGAAGGCTAATAACTATCCTCCAAAATGCTAATTTAAGAAGTGCTGAAATTAACATCTGCCATAAACTTACTTGAACACGGAACGAGATCTGATACTGGAAACTGGAACGGAAACTTCTTGAATGTCTTCGTATGAGAAAGTTGTAGGTCCTAGTATCTAAACTCAAAAAAAAAGTTGCATACCTTATGAAAGTATACTTTCCTCCCAGATGTTCTTAGATCTGACTTTATTATCCAAGTACCAAAAAAAATCTAAGAGAAAGGGCAAGCAACAATATATTGGCTACAAACAATAGGAACTGCCAAATTAAACTGGAGTTCAATGCTTCTTTAAAAAAATAAAAATGGTTTTGTAATTAAATGCTCCTTTCATTGATTTCTGATCCCTTTTTGTTGACTGCCTTTTGCATTTTTCAGCATTCAAATTAAGAGGTGGGCTAAATATACCCCTCCTTCAGTAAATAATAAAAATCCTTTTTGTGACCATTTCAGAGATGGGTTTCTAGCTAACTAGTTGTTTTATTTTCAGATTTTTGAAGGTAAAAAGAAAATGTGATAAATTAATATGCCAATTACCAGCTGATTGATTTGAAGAATTCATAATACGGAGAATGAAATTTACCCACTCAAAAATAGTTTCTGACTACAACATGTAGAGACTAGCAAGTTTCCACATTATTCTGAGAAAAATAAGAGACAAAATGGCACAAGACTATGGTTTGTCTTTACTGAAATACACCGTCCCACATAAACAGCATTAAGATCTTGTCTTCCTAAGATAGCTTCTGCTTGTGCCTTTTGAACTTTGCATTTCTTTTCCAACCCTATCAATTTCAGAACAGGAAGTAATAGGAAGTGCCAAGCAATGCAGTGAAGAGTTACCACTCACTATTTAATAGGAATTATCAACCAAGAAGATAATGTATGTCCTATTTTTCTCTAGAATACAGTATGGTTATTTCCATGCCAGGTTTAGCTTATTTGTTTTCAGTGGCCGTGAGCTTTGCTGAAATGGAAAAAGTGGAGGATCTATTCCATTGTTTTGACTCAGTGGATATAGAATTTTCATAAAGTTGTTACACAGAATTCTAGGTATTAGTGTGTTTGTTAGGAAAATGACGTTTGTTTTGGCTACCTACCATCTTCTTAAGAACAGCATGATGCGGCTAAACTGTGTGAGTGATAAATCTTCACAGATTAAATTAAATAAGTAATGTAAACATTAGCATGAATTATTGGAAAACCTGGGTATTACTTGTCAAGTGAATCTGCAATAAGAGATTATGACATTCTAGGGTTGGCAAAAGAACAGAATATTGAAAGGATGGCAAAGAAAGAGGAACACAGAAAGTGTGACTGCATTTATTTTGAAATTATTGTTTAAGGCACAAATTAAATTATTTTTTTAAAAAAGAGAAGGATCATAAAAAGAGAATCAGGAAGCTATTGAAAATGCAAATGAAGTTTTCTAGAAACCTGGCTTTAGTGGTGGGCTTCAAAATACTCCCAAGTTCTGGTGACAAATAGAGTGCAAGCCTGCCTGGAACTTTTTCATTTCAATAAGCAGAACAAGAACTCAAAAACTGACTATAGATAAATGTCTTTGCCCTTTAGGAAGTAGGTTAGATGTCTTGTAAAGTACAATGGGCCACTCTTCTAGGACCAAGCACAATCCTGAATCCAGGCTTCCCACCTAACCTGGCTGTTATACTCTGCGCTTGTGCCAATGTGTGACATTATTGGTGGGCCACATGAAACATGTCAGCCAAATTCCCAAAACTTTCTTACTCACTATTTACTAGGTTCAGTGACTTGTAAGCAAAGGGGAGGAGACTATTTCATCAGAAATACAAGCTGTCTTGCTGGAGGTTATGAATTTATTTCAGTTTTGGTTGTAAGTTTTGTAGTGTATGAAAGAGCTCTCCAAAATAATTCTGCAGAGAAGATTTTACAATGAGTTTCATGCATGAGAACAAACTCAAAACTAGATCAAGCCACAGCCATGGGGCAAGAATGGAAGCTTTCAATGTCTTTAAGTTTAACTGCTTTGGGAAGCAATCACATCTGTTGACTGGGGGTCACAGAATGGTCCAAAACGTCCATAGATGTCTTTAGCACGCACAGCAAAGTAGTATTTGCTGCCAGACACAAACTGAGTAAGTGTGCATGCCATAGGCAGAGGAAGAGCTTTTACTTCCCCAATCTTTTTCCACTGAGAGGGTACAGTGGCACTTGGGTCCTCATGGTATGCATATAGGTGATAGCTATCCACACTAGCACAGCTCCGGTCCACTTCCAAAACACTCCAAGAAAGCACAATGCCATTTTGACTTTGCACTCGGGCAAGCTTCAGGTGTGGCTTCTGAGGCAAAGAATGGTTGGCAGCTTCTGGAGGCAGTCGAGAGGGCTGCTGGGCCTCTGGCAGAGGGGCTGGATGCACAGGCCGCAATGGCTCCTAAGGGAAAGAGAAATGGGGTTGTGAAGGTGGCAAAGAAGTTGCTTCATCATTTCAGAGACTACATGAATTGATCGCTCAATAGTTAATAGTCCTTGTCAAGTGGTAAGGATTTCCCAAAAAATGGGAGCAGTTACCAAAAATGCTGGCTTCAGAAGGAACGAGGAGAGTTCTTACAGACCCACAGATTATTGCAAAAGCAGGGTATTCTAATCTATGCAATTCAAGGCTTTAAAGATTAAAATCAGCATTTTGAATTGTATTGTTCCTACATTTGTCAGAAACTTCTACAGAATGAATAATTTGTGATCCATATGTAGCTCCAGATCTTTTTCTTATGATCTCAGAAATAACCAAATTTTTCTCTTTGATTTCCCCCTCAAACCCCAAACGGGCTCTAACTTTGTCTAGCTCAGTGATATCATCACTTTACTATTTTTTTCTCCAGCTATTAAAGTTTTTCACAGTATTGTCCCCAATTAGTTTTAAAATATTAATGATCCCTGCATAAATACATTTGATCTTCTATGTGGTTGTACCATCTTTTCTAAATATTCATGTTAATCGATAAAATGTACTTACTGAATGTACTGGAGGAGGCCGATGATGTACTGTGAGTTGAGGTCCACCAGATCCTAATGTTAACCCACTGTTTACAACATAAGCTGTTGTTTGAGGCACTCGCACGGTTACACCTATAAAAGACATTAGAATCAATCTATTTATGCCTTACTTTTTGGAAAGCTATTATAAACCAGGCTATTTTAATAACATACAGGTAGGCCTTTACTTATGCCTACAATTAGAATTTGATCATTGAACAAAGCGGTTGTGAAGCGAGACGCCATGTAACTGCTTTGCTTAATTACTGCAATCCTGGCATTACTGGTTGTGGTAGTTACGTGATCTTGCAATCCACTAATTATTTTTAAAGAAATCAGACAGGACAACAGAAAAATCTAATTAAAACTCAAGTTGAGTTTATTTTTATTTATTTATTAAATTTATATGCCACCCATTTCACTATCCAAAGAATGAAGTCGCAAAGTGACATGCTAGCACAAAAATATATTGAATATCTATGTTATAAACATTTTAAATGTTTTTGGTTGAACTATTTTTCATGTCAAACATTTATGAAATCAAATTTAACCATACATATCTGCTAGTAAACTATTGAATCAGAAACCAAATTAAAAGTTTAAAAAATTACTACCTTAAAAATTGAGATTTATATTTTCAACATATTTTATGATTATCGTGTTTTTATTAGCAACTGATAATTATGTTTCAGTTCACAGCTTACAAATGTATTTTTGAAAACGCTTCTTACCTGAATTTTGTGGGGTGATTTGCCTTAAACCAGAATTCTGCATAACAGTGGTTCGCACAGGAGTCTGTCCTGATGGTGCAGGAAGAGTAGTATAGACTACTTGATGGTTAGCAGGAGCTCTTGGTACTGGGAGTCTAGCTGTAGCCTGAGTCACTGGGCGATGTGTTACATTCACAGTTGTCTGGGCTAAGAGAGGTAAAATAATAGTAAAAAACTTTTAAAGAAATGGCAGCTATGACTTCACATTGTTGTGCAAATATCTTTAGTCCCATCAAGCAGCATGTGCCTACCCTTGGTCTAAACATCTGGCTGATGTGTGAACAACCATAACAATAACATAGAAAACATATGGAATCAAACCAGTTTAATAGCCCAATCATATTGGCATTTTAGAATAGGATTTGTTGGTGTGGTTATTTCTACAGCAATCTGCAGTCAATGTAATGATAAAAAATGCTGGTGATTCACAAGTTTCTAACAGTCACAACTTCAATGTCATTCTGTTGTCTTTTTAAGGAAAACACTGTAACATAAGAAATAAACCAATATATTACAATGGTGAAAAAAATCAACAACTATCAACTCTAAATGCAAACATAATTTTTGTTGCAGCATTCTGATTCCCACTGTTATTTCTGGGTTTTGATGGAAAGCCTACCTCTTTATATATGACTAGAGATATACCTGCTACTTTTCCTTCAATTCTCTCAGTTCAATGAAGCAGTCCTGGAGGTAAAACATTTATCAGAAACAAGTGCAGTATGGCAGAAACTAGATCTGTGATGGCAAACCTCTGGCACACAGAGCCATATTTGCCGGCATGCGAGCCATCAGCTCCAGTCAGCTGATTTTCAGCCTTCTGGGGGGCTGGGGTGGCCGTTTTCACACTTCCCAGGCTTCAGGAAAGCCTCTGGAGCCTGGGGAGGACGAAAAACAGGCCCAATGGGCCAACCAGAAGTTCGGAAATAATCTGTTTCCGGAGGGCCTCCAGGAGGGCGTTTTTCGCCCTCCCCAGGTTTCAGGAAAGACTCCATAGTCTGGGGAGGGTGACAAACAGGCCCAACGGGCCAACCGGAAGTTTGGAAACGATCAGTTTCTGGCTTCCAGAGGGCATCGGGGGGGAGGGGAGGCTGTTTTCGCCTTCCCCAAGCTTCAGGAAAGACTCCAGAGCCTGAGGGTGAAAACTTCCCCCCCCCCCATGTGGGGGGGGTCATGTATGCATGCACAGGTGGGTGGGGCACATTTCATTGTGGGTGTGGGCACGCACAAACGATTTTGGCACGCCTTTACAAAAAGGTTCGCCACACTGAACTAGATGAACTACATTCTGTAAATGTACAACTGTTCATTCAAGGACCACTTGAGAGACAAGTTA